GCCCGTGTCCCCCGGGAGCCCCGCACGGCACTGGCSCGTGACGTGCCTGGGTGACGTGCTGGGTGACACGTGCCGGGGGTCGCGCCGCCTGCGCAGCCCGTGTGGGGTGAGGGCAGCGCAGCTGCGCAGGGGGCTCCGCGGCCCAGGGACCCCTCCTCGCGGGGCAGCCTCGGCCGGAGCCCCCGGGCACCGTTAGAGCCTGCGGCCGCCGAGCCCCGCGTGTGACGCGCCTGGGAACGGCCGCTCTGCGGGCACATCCCGTGTTCCCGCTGGGAACGGCCGCTCTGCGGGCGCGTCCCGTGTTCCCGCTGGGAACGGCTGCTCTGCGGGCGCGTCCCGTGTTCCCCCTGGGAAGGGCCGCTCTGCGGGCGCGTCCCGTGTTCCCCCTGGGAACAGCCGCTCTGCGGGCGCATCCCATGTTCCCCCTGGGAACGGCCGCTCTGCGGGCGCATCCCCGTGTTCCCCCTGGGAAGGGCCGCTCTGCGGGTACATCCCGTGTTCCCCCTGGGAACAGCCGCTCTGCGGGCGCATCCCGTGTTCCCGCTGGGAACAGCCACTCTCCGGGCTGCTCTGGGGGAGCATGCTTCAATGTCGGGTTTAAAGAAAAACAGAATAAATCCGATCACGGAGGCGGCTGCTCTGCATCCCTATCCATCACCCCAGGGGTCCCCCCCTTGTCCGTGCGCAGGGAGCCCCCAGAGCTGCCTCCCCTGCACCCAAAGCTCCCGAGCCCCGTGTCCCCCATGGGGCCCTGGAGCCCTGTGCGTGGGGCGGCCTGGCCGACGCAGCCGGGCCCCGTCCTGCCCCACGGGGCCCGCAGCAACCGCGGGTGCCGCGCGGGGCTCTGCAGGGCCCACGCGCCAGAAGCCGCCTCGTTTTTCCGGTTCTTCCGTGCGGAGCCGGCAGGGAGGTGCCGGCGGCTCCTCCCCGTGCGCTTGGGTGCGGAGCCCAGCCGTGCCCAGGCATCCCGGGGGTGATCCCAGGGGATCTGCTCCAGTGGCCGCCTCCTGCGGCTGTTCGGGCCGGGTGAGCAGAGCAGATGCCCCATGCTGCAGCAAGGAGCAGGTTGGAGGATCCCGGTGGAGCCGGGCCGGCTCCCCGCCTCGCGCGTGGCCGCGGGGACGAAGGCGAGGGGAGCCGACTGGGAAGGGGCTCGGGAGCTGGCTGGGAAGGGGCTCGCGAGGCCGCGGTGCTGCTGGTGGCGGCTCTTTGCTCTGGCTCCATCGGCTGCTCCGAGAGCCGGGGCCTCCTGCAGGTTCCCTGAGTTCCGAGCCCCCTGCGAGGGACGGGAATGGAGGCTGGGCCTTCGCTCCGCTGGGGCTGAGGAAGGCGGCAGCTCTGCCCGTTCTCGCCGTGCAGCTCTGCCGTGGGGTGAGCAGGGCTTCGCTCCTGCAACGCAGGGGCACAAAGTGACCCCTTGGTGCCGGGCAGGGCGGACAGGACCGGCGGCACGCGGGCAGCGCCGCGGCTCCCCAGTCCCTGTGCCTGGAGGGTGTGACGGAGAGGGCAGCGTGGGCCCGTTCCTGCGTTCTGCTCTCCTGAAAGTCCATCCCAGAACAGACCTGCGCTGGGACGGCCTGGGAGCTGCTCGGAGCTCTGTTTCTAAGGATTAATCGACCTCGTTCTTTAATAGGGATTGGGAATCCTGAAAGACCCYGTTGCCCTTCTCTTTGGCCAGGTCTCAGGATGCCTCATCGCACCATCCACCTTTTCCGCAAGGGCCTGCGGCTCCACGACAACCCCACGCTGCTGGCCGCGCTGGCCTCCTCCGAGGCCCTCTACCCCGTCTACGTCCTGGACCGGCGCTTCATGGCCTCCGCGATGGCCATCGGGGCCCTGCGCTGGCATTTCCTGCTGCAGGCCCTGGAGAACCTGCGGGCGAACCTGCTGCAGCTCGGCTCCTGCTTGCTCGTCCTTCAGGGCGACTACGAGGCCGTCCTCCGGGACCACGTCAAGAAGTGGCGCATCACGCAGGTGACGCTGGACGCCGAGGTGGAGCCCTTCTACAAGGAGATGGAGGCCCGCATACGGCGCCTGGGGCAGGAGCTGGGCTTCACGGTGCTCTCCYTGGTCAGCCACAGCCTTTACGACACCCAGCGGTACGTGCTTGCCACCGAGGGCTCTCCAGGCTTAGTGTAGATTTAACAACCATCAGGACTTTTTCCCCAGAAAAAAGGCAACTGTTTTGGTCCTTCTGGATCCCCTTGCGTTGCTTTGGGGAAAACAGGGTAATCTGAGAGGAGCCTGGTGCTGCTTGCAGGGGAATTTCTTGTGTTGCTCTGCTGCAAGCACGCGCGAATAGCTTTGGTGTTAGGATGTTGGTTTGTGGTTTGGACTTGAGGAGTTTGTTGATGTTTTTCCCCCATTTTGACACTAATTCACATCAAATCCTTACRTTAGCTACTCCTTTAAGGAGAGCGAAGGGAAGGAATTCTCCTACACATTTGACAGGATTTTATATGATTTTGTGTGTATGTGTTCGTATGTTCTTTGTTTCGATCTTTCTAAACAACCTTGTTGTTTAGATGCTATTCAGACCCAAATAACTGAAGACACACATTAAGAATAATTGGAAGGTAATCACTAATAGTTCAAACAGTCTTAATACCCCAGTCCTGGAAAGTCTCTAATTCTTGTAAAGGAGCAAATCAAAATCCATGACCTCTGTATTCACGCCTACAAACGGGGGCTGCTCCAGCCTGTGCTGCTGCCTTCCTATTCCCTGACAGCTCCAGGCTCCGGCTTGGTCTATAGGATTGTGCAAAGTGATGTGGTTTTATTTAGGATTTTGGAGCTGAACGGCGGCGCGGCCCCGTTAACGTACAAGCGGTTTCTTCACGTGCTCTCTCTGCTGGGGGACCCCGAGGCGCCCGTGCGCAGCCCTGCAGCTGAAGACTTCCAGTAAGTACCGCGGAGGCGGCGGGAGCAGCGGCTCCTCTCCCTTCGGCAACAAGAGCTCTAGCTAAACGGAGCTCGGGTGCTTTCCATGCTACGCTGCGTTATTTTTTGCATTGTGGTTTATACATTTATACCTATAGGGAATATGACGCGGCTCCTTGTGCTTTAGGGCTGTTAGTTGGAGGGCAGGACCGATGAGAGGTGTTAATGTCCAGAAACTTAGGCTTTTGTGAGGCACATTTGGACCAACTTCTACGGCTACACAGGAGTTTAACAGGGATGACTGAGGGATCTTGGGCCCCTTTCTCTAGCTCCCTGGCGAATCCCAGCTCCGAGGTGGGATTCGGATGGACCGGTTATGGTTTGCTCTGTGGGGGAAGTTCGGTGGGATAATGGTGCTGTTCCCCTCCAGCCTTGTCTGCTCTCCTGCCCTCTCCGGTTTGGGAAGCAGGGACCAGGCTCATGTCTCCCAGGACTCCAAGAAGCTCCAAGTCGAGGATAGTCTATGTATATATATGTATATAGCCCTGCATGAGAAGTGGTTAATGATTGCAAGGGAGGAAGGATTGGGCTAGGACACTTGAGCAATAACATCCATCCAAGTATTGGACTAGATCAGTTTCTGGAATTTCTTGCTCTGTTTTTTTTTTCCCCCTACTGTGTTTATTCCCACATTTTTATTGGATTCTGTGTTAATTGCTGGTGAGAGCTAAGCGGTTCACGTGCTTCCTGGCAGGCCAGTGCTGCGAGGGCTGCACTGGCAGCTCCCGCTGGCGGTGCCTGCAGCAGAGCCGAGCGCAGTTTTCCCAGGTGAGCAGCAAGATTTCTCTTTGTCCTCACCTCATTTGTGCTCCTGCTGAGAAGTCAGGCTGCTGCCCACACTCCCCTGACCCCGCTTTTCTCTTCTCTCTTTTGCAGGGGGAAAACTGCGCGTGGGTGCTCTGGCAGCCTCCGGGGAGGCCGGGCCCTTGGGGCAGCCTCGGGAGCTGTGGCCGCAGAAGCGAAGCGAGGGGCCAGCGCCAGGGCACAGCGGGCAGAGCAGGAGGCCGGTGCCCGGGGCCGGCGGAGCAGCCCCGGTTAGGAAGAGCAGCGGGGATGGCGGCACAGGGGGCTGCTGGTGAAGCCTCTGCCAGCGCCACCCCTCCCCACGGACACGGGGGCTGCAGCGGGACAGGCCCTCGGAGCAGCCCCCTGTTTATGGGAGCGCTGGGCTCTCGCACACGAGGTGGCCCTTGGGGGCCGCRGGGGGAAGGTGCCCCCCAGCTCCTGCCCCACATGCTGGGCAAGAAGCCAGCGGCAGGTTGGGGCTCTGGAGGCCCAGCCTGCTCCGGCCCCCGCCGCTCCATGGCTTGTTCTGCCTCCTCCACGTTAGGCTAGGGCCCAACCTGGCGCTATGGCCTTTGGTGCCACGGGTTTTCTTCACACTTGGCCCAGGGCCAGGTGTCTCAGGTCTGCCTTGATTCCTGCTCTGCTGGAGCCATCATGGAAAGAGCTCACCGTTCCCCAAGGAAAGTTCCTGGGGTTTCTGGCTCTGCCTGTGCTCCGCTTTGCTCTGGCTGTGCTGTGACCAAGGAGATCTCAGCATATGGAGCRGACAAGGCTCTACTCCCTCTTTCAGCGCTGGTTCCCTCTCTGAAAGAAGCCTCTCTTTCCCCTTAGGAGGTGCCGGCCCCCTGACCTGTGCCTGGCCGAGTGTTACGGGGTGCCTCTCCCTGTGGATTTGAAGATCCCCACGGAGAGCCTCTCCCCCTGGAAAGGAGGGGAGACCGAAGGGCTGCAGCGCCTGGAGCAGCACTTGATGAACCAGGTCAGTCCCCATGTTGTGGGTGAAGCTGGTGGCTCCTGTTAGCGTCAAACCCCTCCTGCTCCTAATTTAATAAAGAGTAAAATATCTCCAGGGTGGTGCTGTTGTACCTGGAGAGCCGTTCCCTGTTGTGCAAACCCCCCCCCTTGCTGGGGAGCCCGGGGCTTCACCCCCAGGCTGTGGGACATGGCCTCAAAGCCGGGCTTGGAGGAGCTGAGGTGCCTGGAGATCCTYCAGAATCCTTTGGAACATTTGGAAGAAGATGGCAACCTGGCCTCAAGATTTTGTTATCCTTAAGGACAGTGTTTGTTGGAGGCCCAGGTGTTGGGACTCTTTTCCATGTGTGGCATTGAAGAAGCCAATAGCAGAGAGTTCTCCCCTGTTTTCTTGCTGAATKTGTCACCTTGCACTGCTTAAAACCTGGATTTCTGCCTTCGTTTCAGGGCTGGGTGGCCAATTTTACTAAGCCACGAACGATTCCAAACTCACTGCTTCCAAGCACCACCGGCCTGAGCCCGTACTTCAGTTTGGGCTGCCTGTCAGTCCGCACCTTTTTTTACAGGTTGTCAAACATTTACGCTCAGGTAAGCAAACATTTGCCTATGGTCAAGCAAATGCAACACTCCTAGGTGTCCGGCATGATGCGATGCTGGGATTTCACACTCAAATAATGTGAGTGTTAGACCAACACTCAATCAGAAACGCTGCCCTCCTAATGTTTGCTCACCATGTCCTACCAAATCTGTGCAGACCCTTTGTAGGTTTTCTGAAGCACCTATAATTGCATAAGGCTTTTCCTAACTAAGTTCTAGAAATATGAAAAATAGGCAACAACRCGAGCTGGAAACAGCAGGGAATCTCGGGAAAGCTGAGCTAAAATAAAAGCAGCTGAAGGTGTCAGCCTGGTGTTTACTGAGTTTCTAGATTGTGTGTTCTCATCTTAAATCTTTCAGCTGTAGCATAAGCCAACATCACATTCTGAAATCTTGATTCTTAAGAAGAAATATGTTTTGAACCAACACAAGGCTATGTGAGACGTGGCTGGGACACCTGAATTCAGCTAGCTGAGCAGTTTGCAYGTAGATAAATATATGCTTCATTTCAAAACAAGTGTGATTCTGCACTGAAAGCTGGGTTGAGAAAATGAGGAAATACTGAGGTCTAGTGGGGTACATAGGGGTACAAATACTGAGGTCTTCCCTTGCTTTTGTAAAGCCTGTGGTGTCATTATTCATCTTTATTTTATGGGCTTGGTAGGTATAAAATAAGTGGAAGTGCAACGATATGTCTGGACTGATGCTCTGATGCATCTTTTACAGTCCAAAAATCACTCTCTGCCGCCGGTGTCACTCCAAGGACAGCTTCTGTGGAGGGAGTTCTTCTACACGGTGGCATCAGCAACGCCAAACTTCACCAAGATGGTTGGGAACCCCATTTGCCTTCAGATCAACTGGTACCAGGATGCGGAGAGGCTCCACAGGTGGAAAACGGTAACGAGCTGCGGGGTCCCCGCTGCTACCCTTCGGTTTGGAGCTTTTCCTCTACCCGGGGTCCTCCCCTCGGGGAGCGGGCGAGGGAGCTTGGGGCCGGAGGGCTGATGTTTCTCTCTTTCCTCAGGCTCAGACGGGGTTTCCCTGGATYGATGCCATCATGACGCAGCTGCGCCAGGAAGGCTGGATTCACCACCTCGCTCGGCACGCTGCTGCCTGCTTCCTCACCCGGGGGGACCTCTGGATCAGCTGGGAAGAGGGCATGAAGGTTCCCATGGGCTCTTGTTTGTTTGTTTGCTCGCTGCCCCCATCCCCTTTTTCATCGTGTCGTTCTCTGTTCTGGCTGGTGGGAGGAATCCCTGCAAAAATGTGAACCTGGCAGTAGAAGTATTGTAGAATAATGATTTGTCACTGTTCCTCCCTAGCAATCTCCTGGTTGTAGAACTGTTGCTTCCAAGTTTTTTTCACTGAAATGGAAACTCTGGTGCTGGGTGCAGTGGGGAGAGGTTGTTCCCGATCCCTAAAGCCCAACGATCTTGGATGACAGAGATACCAGAGACCTGCCCTGTCCATGGCAGGCGGCAGAGCCAGACCTTTGGAATTTGGCTTCCTTGTGTCCTCCTCGACTTCCTCTTGGAGAACTGGATAGAGCTGGACAGCGTTCCCTGTGTGACAGGGGTAGCCCAGCCCAGTGCGGTGCTCAGCGCTTAGCAGCAGGCTCCATCCTTCATCTCCCAGCCCTTTTTGCCACACAAGGAGCCATTCCAGTTGTTTTCTTCTCTTTCTCTCCTCTTCCCGTCCCCAACAYGCAGGTGTTCGAAGAGCTGCTTTTAGATGCTGACTACAGCATCAACGCGGGCAACTGGATGTGGCTGTCGGCCAGCGCCTTCTTCCACCAGTACACGCGCATCTTCTGTCCCGTGCGCTTTGGGAAGCGCACGGATCCGCAGGGCCGCTACATCCGGTAGGGAGAGGATCCCGGGAGCCGGGGCCGCAGCCACGGGCCCATTAACGTGTGAGGAAGATGAGGCGAAGAGGCAGGCCTGCGGGCGCGGGGTCTTGCACCGGCCCCACTGGGGTCCAGTCACTGGGCGGCTTCTTTTCCTGGCAACTCCTGGGGGATTTTTTCACAGCTCGCCCTGCTCCAGTTGTTTCCTGGGCTTTCACTTAAAAGGAGCGTGGGTTTTATTTCCCACCCCGCTTTCAGTGAGTCACATTCACTTCTAAGCCTYGGCGGCTTTATTTTTAGAATGGAAATAACATCGGTCTCTTTGAGATGTGGCTGAACTCCACTGATAAAACAGGTTTTCTATGGAGTTACTGCGATTATCTTGTTGCGGTGAAGATACTCATTACCCTTTCTCATAATTAGTGGGTGGTTTTACTGCCTGCCTTCAATGGGAGTGGGACGTCTTGATGTCTGTCTGAGGAAATAACTCCTTTCTCCCACGTCTCCTCCCCCTCGTGCTGCATCTGGCTCTGCCTCCCGTTAAGATGAAGCCCTTGCTGACAGAGTTGGGTAGGAAATGACTCCCACTCTGTAAGAATTGGAGTTTTGTTTTTGAAATTTAAGAAACTCTAGGGCAAAATGACAGGAAAAATGTTGAAAACCAAGGGAAAAAAAATTACAGTCCAAGTTGAAACAATATTTAAATCAACTGCTTTATTCTTTGTTGGAAAGTTAACTTTTGGAAGGTAYTACCATGAGACTTCGGAACAGAAAATATTTCATTTGTGCAAAATGAACCAAAACTTTCTCATAGATAGTAGTATTGAAATGACCATTAGGAGTAAACATGACTTTGGTTTATACTCCTCTTAAGTAGATGAATACTTGTCTGCAGAGTTGTAGAAAGAAAGCACTATATTATTACTGTTTTGTAGGAAGTACCTGCCTGTACTAAAGAACTTCCCTTCCAAATACATCTACGAGCCCTGGACAGCCTCTGAAGAGGAGCAGAAGGAAGCAGGATGTATCATAGGTAACTTTGACACCACGTGAATGCTTCAGCTCCTGACAGCTCTCCAAAATAAGTATATACACGAGAGAGATAAGTATGTACCACTGGAAGCTACCTGCTTCCAGCGAGCCATCCATTTATCTTCTAAAATGGATTTATCCACCAGTCTGGCGTTGTTTACTGGAATCTGATCTCTTTTGCTCCTACTTCATGTTTTAAGACGATGGKGTCACCCCGAGTTGCTGTTTTTTTGTTGTTCTGTCTTGGACACTGGCTGTCTCTAAATAGTGTCCGAGTATCTTGTGCTTTTAGGCTTATTCTAAYGCACCTTTCAGGAGAGGGCAAGACTCTCAACCCTGTTAATGGATGGGAAACCAAGACCTAGAGCATCTAATGTAGGGATTTGTCTTCATGTCTAAATGGGAGCTAYTTGGACCTCCTGGCTTTTACAGTTCATGGAGGGAGATGGGCAGGGTGGCTCACACTGCAGAATTACCCATTTGGGTGCCTCATATTTTAGAAAAAGCTGCTTTCTTGCTCTGGTGCAAGATGAGTGAAGTGGCACCGACTCGTGCTGCRCTCACCACTGCCCGTCTGTTGCGTCAGGTCAAGATTACCCCTTCCCAATGGTGAACCACAAGGAAGTGAGCGAGCACAACCTGCTGCTGATGAAACAGGTCAGAGAGGAGCAGTGCAGAACAGCCCAGCTCACGCGAGGTAAGAGGTGCTGTCGCGCTGGGGGTTCAGCGGGCTGCAGCAGAGGCCGTCTTGGGAAAACGGATGGATTTGGGCTTGGTTTTGTCTTCTGGTTCTTGGGACTTGGTTCCAAACAAATCGTTCCCTGTTGCTCTAGTTACTATTGGAACATTTTTTCTTTGGGCCACYGAAAGGGACCAGTGTCCCTTTTCTTTTAGCTTCCCTTGTAGGATGGGAGCTCGCTTTTTCCTGCTAGAGAAACCCTTTCCCCAAAACAGACCTTCTCTGCAACACASGCCTTCTGTGGGTCTGCATGAGTGTCATTCCCAAACCCCAGTTTCGCAAGGCAAAGCTCCTTCATTCCTTCCCTTTTTACCACAATCTGCCCTGCTCCAGGACAGAAGATATTTGAGACTTCCATTGTCCACAAATGAGCGAAAAGCCTTTGAGAGAGTCAAGAACTTTGCCTTTTAACTTTAATTTCTAAATGGTTTAAGCTTATGTAGAGCAAGCCGGTAGTTACCGGATAAGCTTGAAATGTTCAGGAGCTTTGGGCTGACCAAAATTGCTTAGATATTTCCAGTTTCAGAGAGGTCTCACTTTATGGCCTGTGCTCCTGACACTGAGCTCTTGGAGCTCCTTGCCTTGGAAGAGTCTCCTGTGAGAAGTGGGAACTGCTTTTGTATTAACCAGCATGGCCACAGCACCTGCATTACAAACTCCAACATGCAGCAGCTGATGGGAGCCCCAAGTTTTTCCGCATCATTTTGCATGGCCAGATGGAGCTCCCTGTTCCTGATTTTGTGCATATTATTGTATCCTGCAGGTTGCAGAGTGGTACAGATAGAACTAGCTTATGCTGACAGTTCTCTCACCAACCCCGTGGTAAAGGGCAGTAAATGTTGCTCTCACTGCTCTTGGAGATATGGAAATGAGTCCAAAAAAATGAGAAATGAGTCACCGACTCCCAGCACTGTTGTTGCTGCCTGTAAAACAGAAAACTTTTCCCCGTGGGCTTTGTCACTTGGCCTGCTGTGTCCTTGCTGGCTGCAGCACTGAACTCAGAGAAAGTGCAAATTTGAATTCTTGTTCCCTTCTTGCCCTAGATGATGCAGATGATCCAATGGAGATGAAGATGAAGCGTAACCACTCTGAAGAAAACGTAAAGAAGGGAAAAGTGGCCAGAACCACAGAAGAAACTTAGATCCTGCCGGGGGATTATACTCTGGGAACAAAAGAATGGCAACTGGGGAGAGCCAGAGACCAGTTCAGGGAACTTAGGGAGTTCCTGAATGTTTTTGTTAGTGCAGTTATTCTGACTGAAATTGTTTCTCTCTGCACGGCATTCGTGTAGGTTAGATAAATTCAAGAGGCAACTGGTGTTGCTAGGACATGTTGCTGTAGCATCATACAGAATTCAGGTGGTGCTCCTGCAGCTGTCTAAGTAGTTTTAATGATAAATACCAGTCTTTCTGACGTGCTAGATAGATGCCAGTTCAAGAATATATGCTCGTTACTGTTCTCACGCATTAGTGGTAAAAGTAGAATTTCCCCTGTCTTGCATAGACGAGAGATTTAGGGATTTTCAGATGTGGTTCTGTAATTTCACTTAGTTTGGGCACATAGTCCCCAGTTTGGTGAGATACACAAGAGCACAGCCTGTTTTAAGGTTCTGTGTAGCTCCCATGACTTAAATAGGATTCCTCGTGTACTCTAAGGGCAGTGTTGCATAGTGTCTGGCTTTGTTAGGTCTGACGTGCAACTGTCCTTCTGGCTTGAACCATAGCATAGTTATCATTTTGATCATGTAAGTGCAAACATCTACTATTCCATTGAAATGTCTCATTGTGAAGTTTCCTCAAGAGTGGATTAGTTGATTATATTTGTTACAACCAGGGTTTTGCTGGGAAGGGTGGGTTTTTAATGGGTGTGGGRGTGCTATTTTTGCTTGTAAAAGAAATAAAAATGGTTTCTGACATGAAAAAGGTACAAAACCATTGTCACAACTAGTATCCACCTGTCCTCTTTGGAAAACTGGAAGCAGGACAACTCCAGCAGCAATCCGATGTGTCCAGAGTCCCTCGCTTTGGAAGAGTCCGTGGAGCTGGCGTAGCAGGAGCACACGGCCCCCGTGAACCAGGAGGAAGCCAAGCCGAGCACTGCGCCTCGCAGCTCATGTTCCAGCGCTCCCGATGAYCGGCGGGATCGGAGAAAAGTGCAACGGCAAAAAAAAGCAGCACTGCCTCGTGCTTTGGCAATAAATGTASAAGACGCGGGGACTGTCACCTGCATCTGAGAAGCTGGTCGTGTTCTTCCCACTGCACCAAGCGTGGAGGGAGCTCCTGAAGGCGCTGGTGTTCTTGGCGTTTTAACTTCTCTACTGCAAAGCTGGTGATTGCAAGATGACAGGAAAGAAGGGCAGATACCCAGGCCCTGAGGGGGCAAGAGGCCAAAGCAGTGTGGGCTGTTTGGGGAAGGCGACTGCTCTACCTGCTGGCATGTGCAACCTGGAAGGTTAATTGGGTTCCTTCCTGCGCCTAATGGAAGTTGCTGCATCGCTGTCTGCTCCGCTGTAGCCCAGCACAGGTGGCCACAGGCACGCAGAGCTGGTGCTTGCCTCTCATTTTAAGGCATAGTCTGCCCAGGATGGGTTAGGCTTTACCTAAAACATCACTAACCTGGAGATGTTTTTGTTGCTTAAGGTTTCACCAGGAGTCCTAAGAATTGCCTAGCAAAAGACGGAGCCGTCAGCAGTAGTTAGATGTCTCTTGGTGTCCAGTGTCGCCGCTAACTGTGTGGCCAGGGGATGGTTTCAGTGGATGTTGAGTGGTTGTGGATGTGCTTGCAGCTACAGGCGCGTTTTCCATCGGGAAGAGACTCCCGAGTGTGCAGGTGGCACCAGTTGGCTGTTAAGGAGGACAGGAGCTTCAAACCTTCTTTGGGGCTCCTGCTGCTGCAAAGCAGCTGCCCAATTTTGCTCAGACCTGCTCTTGCTTGGAAATAGGGTTCGTTATCTGCTTCGAGACAGGGGCAGCAGCAAAGTTTTGAGCAAGAGGATGCGACGGAAATTGAGCCCCAAGACAGCTCCGCTGCTGGGTAACRAGGAAGAAGCTCCTGAGAAAGAGAAAGACCAATGTCTAGATTCCGACCGCCTCTTCTCGTAGCAGAAGACTCTAAGGAAAAGTGAACTGCCCAACAGAGCTGTTGGTCGGTGCATCCTCCTTTTCTCTGCTTTTGGGCCCCTGACATGACTTGCATTGTTTGCATCTTTGCAAATCCACACGCGTTATTTGCCTGTGGAACTGGTGGGACGTTAAGCCAGCAAAATGCACCCAGCGCAATGCAGTCGTTCTAGGGATGCAGGTTTCTGGTATCTAGGCCTTGGAGACGAGCGCCTGCATCTTGGCCGTGCCCTCTAATGCGGGACGTAGCGGGAGCTCAGCTTAGAGGTGTGTGAAACTCCTGCAGACTAATGCTGAGTTTTGTCATTCCCGCCCCTCCCTTGGCTCCCTCACTCCTTTCCAATATGCAAAAAAAAAGGCTCTGTGCTTCCAGGATATATTTTTTTGTGCCTCCCTCATTCTTTATGAGCTTACCTGTTAAGTTTACCTTGGTGAGTCTGGCTGATAGGTGTCTTTGATCTAGTTATCCTTGTTTTATGTCACGATGGTGGAAAACAGGCACTTAGGATATTGTGAATCATGCTGTAGGTAGGGACCAAACAAGGTCAGTTGAGTACCTGTGTTGATTTCTGCTTTGAGGAGTCTTTTCCCAGATAGATACAGAGTTTTGAGAGCTTATGTCTGGAGAAACCCATGGTTTAATGGGTTAATTAGAACTTTAGATTTTAAACTTCAGATGAGTTTTGACTTCTTGGTGGTTTAGTTTTGATTGTACAAAAGAACAAAAATAGGCAGCATGAGCTAAGAATTGGTGGCCCTCCAGTAAAATTACCAGCATTATTTTATTTAATGCCTAGCAATCAGAACACTCTAATGCAAAATTTTTACACACCTCCAGGAAGTCTATTCTATTTAAAATAATGTTTTGCCATGTCTACCACCAAGTTGACAGTTTCAAGCTAAGTAATTAGCAGAGAATTTGGAGTCTTACTGCTTTATACTTGCAAATTTGCGATGTACAGTTGAAAACAGTAATTCCATGTGCATTACTGCGGAGGGGAAACCTATTCTTGTAGGAGATGCACACATCTAATGACTCCTCTCCAAAAACTGCATTGGGAACTAGAAGGCAGTTTATAATTCACATAGCAATGTTTGAATAGGAAGTGCTTGAACAAGCTTTTACACTGGTTTTGAAACAGCATCATGTAGCTCTGCAACAGGTATTACAAGACTGAAGATGGACTGGGGCGTCACCTTAGCCTGCTGAATTTGTCATCTTGGCATCCTGGCTGGTGCCAGGAACAGCGTGGGCAGCAGGAGCACGGAAGTGCTCACAGAATCACAGAATGTTCAAGGTTGGAAGGGACCTCTAGAAATCATCTAGTCCAACCCCCTGCTCCAGCAGGGACACCCAGAGCACGGGGCACCTGGTCGCATCCAGGTGTGTTTTGAAGACCTCCAGAGAAGGAGCCTCCCCAGCCTCCCTGGGCAGCCCGTGCCAGGGCTCTGTCAAGTGATTGTGCCCCTGTGCTCGGCGCTGCTGAGGCCGCCCCTCAAACACTGTGTTTGGTTCTGGGCTCCTCGCTACAAGAAGGACCTTGAGGTGCTAGAGCGTGTCCAGAGAAGGGCAACGAAGCCGAGGAAGGGGCTGGAGCAGAGACCTTATGAGGAGCAGCTGAGGGAGCTGGCATTGTGTGGAGGAGGCTCAGGAGACCTCGTCGCTCTCTACAACCACCTGAAAGGAGGTCCCTGGCAGTGTTCAAGAAACATGTAGATGAGGCGCCCAGGGACCCAGCTTAACCAGTACGGTGTTGAAGGGCTTACAGTTGGGCTCGATGGTCTTGAAGGTCTTTTCCAACCATAACGCCTCTGTGATTCTCTGCTCTTGTAAAAACCTCAATGAGATCAAGTTCGACAAGCATAAACGCTTGCAGTGTCCACAGTGACTGGCATCCATCTAACTTGGTTTATTTTGTGATCAAGYTGGGAGGCCAACAAGCCAAATGGGCTTTTGAAGAGAAGACTGCACTAATCGTTAACAAAGGAACGGCTCCTCAGTTTTTGCATGGGTACCTTTTCATTGAGGACATAGTGAACTCATGTCAAAGAGAAGTGACGTTGTACACACAGTCTGGAAGAGGAGACGTCAGCTGGACTGGTATCCATCAAAGACTCAAGACTGCAACTAAGCCAATGCTTGATGGAAGTCAACAGGTCCATTTTCCAGTTTAGCTGAAACTGAATTATGMCTGTCTTAAGAGACTTGAGCGTAATGTGAGGGAAAAAAAAATATGACTGAAAAAGCCTTTGAGAAATTTTTAGTCTAGWTTCTTATCAATATAAAAAACTCGAAGGTCTATTTTGCAGTTAGAGTACTTTGCAAATTCAAATGGAATTTTAAAGATTTAATAATTTTTCAGAAACGTAAGTAGCCTCAGTTAGACCTCCATGCTAAATACTGGTAGGTGAACCTGCTGTGGCCAGAATTTTACGGTAGAGAAGAGAAGCAGCTCCTCTCAGCTCACATTTCAATTGTCAAATTATCTGYAGAAAAAGTGGTGTCGTTGGGTTGATTGGTCCATTCTGAGATCATGTTTTGGACACTGGCTTCCTTTCAAGAAACAAACTGAGTCAGTCCTAAAGAGTTTTGCCTTTGAGATGTTCTAGATTAGAGGCCAGCCTCTGTCTACATGATTTCAAAATATTGGCTGGGACATCATGGGTGCTGTAAAACAGTAAGAGCTTTTACGGTGGGATGGAATGGTGCTTTGACCTGGCTCTCCTGAAGAACTGTCCAAAACACATCGGATGCAGTTCTTGCGGTTCAGTCAGACACCCAGCCTCCCTCAGGAGGACAGCGAGGTGTCAAACGAGCGGAAGGAGGGCGAAAAGCTTTGACCGGGCAGAGTGGTGCTTTGTGTTGAACCCGTTTGTGATCAGACGTCCGATACTCTCCTCCTTGTTGACGTACAAGCACATATGAAGCGCTGTGAACAGCTGCAGGGGAACTCCTGCTAACTGTATGGCACGGGAGGCCACGAGCGTTGCCCTTTCTTTGGCTTAGCACGTCTTATTCCTCTAAAGACATCAAGTTTGTTTGTAAATGTTTAAAGCTGCCCCCYGGAAAGCAGACTCTAGGACAACGACTTGGCCTCCTTTAGCTTCTGGCTTGCAGCCTTGCGCCAGCAGCGCTGCCTGTGCCGCGGATGTCCTGCTCTCACCACTGGCGAGCAGGAAGTTTCTTCCCTCCAGATTATTTCTGTGGTGTCCTGAAGTGGACGTTATTTCTGAGCAATGGATGGAGTGCACTGCCAGTCACCAGCATTTAAGAAAGCAAGGTCCCCACAAGTATGAAAGCCATTCCCTGCCTTTACCTTGCACGGTTTTGATAATCACAGTTGATATTCACCAAAAAGCTCAACATTAACTTTTGAAGTGAAAATTCAGCTGTAATTTTATGTCTCTGAAACCTTAAGGGACAAATTCAATACAGACTATAGGGGCTCATAACACAGTTGCAGGAGACTCAGAGGTACTAACGTGGCTATAAKGGAACTCAACCTACTGGTCAAGATGTGGCCATACTGAACCTGAAAAAAATGAAGTTTTTTTTTTCTCCAAAAAACATCTTAAAATGGTTCAGAGGTGAGATCAGCTCCCGCCTTCTCTGAGAGGTGATTTGGATGGACTCTGCGAGTCATGGTRCCTCTGGTATGATCTTCTAATGCTCTTCCAGAAAGTCTCAGTCCT